TGGGTTATAGGTACGTTTCATCTTCCCAGCAAATGGTTTGGTCATCATCATAGTCTTGAAATCAGCCTTATAATATAAAGATGGTAGAAGGAAATGAGAAAAGATGAGGTTATTTGTCTCATGGTTATCAGCAGGTGATATGCATTTTGTTAGATAAATACTGATTCTTATATATTTGCTTGTTCTTTTATGTCATAAAACATCTCAATAGTCAATGTATTCCACTTACAGGCCTACACTGTTTACACTGTCTACACTGTTTACATTACTTTGACCCCTAATATCACTTCACAACTTTCTGGAATCTTAGAAAGATTGACATGACGTGATATATAACTTTTACCACTGACCTCTACAGCATTGACCTTATGACCTGCAGTACATAACTTTGACCACTGACCTCTACAGCATTGACCTATGACCTGGCATATAATTTGACCCATTGACCTCTAATGCATTGACTTTATGTCCTGAGACATAACTTTGACCTACTGACCTCTACAGTATTGACCTGCTAGATAACATTGACCTACTGACCTCTACAGCATTGACCTTATGACCTGGCATATAACTTTGACCCATTGACCTCTACTGCATTGACTTTATGTCCTGAGACATAACTTTGACCTACTGACCTCTACAGTATTGACCTGCTAGATAACATTGACCTACTGACCTCTACAGCATTGACCTTATGACCTGGCATATAACATTGACCCATTGACCTCTACTGCATTGACTTTATGTCCTGAGACATAACTTTGACCTACTGACCTCTACAGTATTGACCTGCTAGATAACATTGACCTACTGACCTCTACAGCATTGACCTTATGACCTGGCATATAACATTGACCCATTGACCTCTACTGCATTCACTTTATGTCCTGAGACATAACTTTGACCTACTGACCTCTACAGTATTGACCTGCTAGATAACATTGACCTACTGGCCTCTACAGCATTGACCTTATGACCCGGTACAAACTTTGACCTACTGACCTCTACAGCATCTTCCACAACAATTCTATCTTCATCATTTCGCCATCTATCTTCCAGGATTGCACCTAATTCTATATTCATTAATTTCCACTTTCCAGGTTTGCTTTCTACTTCCCATTTAGCAATACTACTGGTGATAGCAGCGTAGGCTACTTCCTCATATTTACTGTTGATAAGAGATGCTCCAATTCCTTCTAATGCTACAAATAATTCCATATTGGCTTGCTCTGCAATGTTAGCCTGAAAAGAAGAATATATATTGGTTAAACACAATTTATTATTTACACTCTGAATCAATGGCAGACACTAATTTATTAACTACTTGTAGTGCAGTGGTTGTGGCATTTGATTATTGATTGGTAGACCCAAGTTCAAATGGGTTGACCTCTACCCTGGATGAGTGTGCTACAGACTCAATGGGAAGGCTAATTCCACTGGCAGAGATTCATTCACTAACAAATACGACTTTGGGGAAACCTTGGTTAAGGCACCGTGAGTGTTTGTGTTCAACTGAGCCTGGTTGATGCCAGGATAGAGCATTCAACTTGATAGAGTGATGGCCACACACCCCTGTCATGTAGTCGTAAACTTGAATACAGCTTATATAGCAAAGATATGCAAGCACCTGCAAATGTCTGGAACTGTTGCCTGGCACAAAACTGTGTATTACACCAAAATATATCGCAATTTATAAAAATGAGTTAAATATTACAACCTTGCTTTAATAATGAGAATCAAGTTTGAAGATGATCAGATAAAAGGTATTTTAGTTACTGTAACCACAAGAAGGCGAAAATATTAGGAGAATTAAATTTCACTAATACCTTATAAATATAATTTACATAGAACACATACCAAAATCAGCTGAGATCTCAAACTGGTTGATAAAATAGCTTGAAAGGGATTGATAACAACTGTTTGAATTATAGTAACAACAAGAATAAGTTTTACATTTGTACACCAGAATCATCAACATCAAGTCATTGAAAATGACGCAGTCCCCGTTAAAGTTTTGAAAGTTCTCTTTGTGCTTGTCATATTAAAGCAGAGGGGTTGTCGCGAGCGTGTCCTTGAAACTTGAGTTCCAAGTGGCGTACACAACAGATTGTTTATTTACCGTATTACCCCGGGCATGCGCCCAGGGGCCTGAACATACAAAATCGTGAAAAATTGGGGGTGGGCGCTTACGCGAGGACCACCCCCAAAAAAGATTTAAATAAGTTGTTTTTGGGATCGTATGATAAGGTCAAATAAAGGAATGCTTTCGTACACTTTGTACACATACTTATTTCTTGATTTATGCGAGGTTTCAATAAATGTGAGCACTCGGTCAAGAACTGTGGGAACACTAAGACACAGGGTCGAATTTCAAGAATAAAACTTGTTTTATGTCAGCGAATGAAGTTGTATTACTCACTGAAATTGGCTACAAAGTATGGTAAGTATTGTAATCAATGCACGGTTACATTTTTAGTAACCGTGATCAGTGCAAGTCGAAACGGCCGGGAAAAACTACCTCTTGTAATCCAAGATGGCGATGACCTCATTAGCATAATTTTGTTCACGCACGTAATACATCGATACATCGCATCGTAATTACTGAAGAATAGCAGACAGGGTTATGAAACAAATAAACCTTTTATTACTGATGTGAAATGTTTACAAACTATTGTAAATACATAAACATATCCAAATGGCGATACATAAAAAACAGACTGAAAATAAACTCTGGTCGACCTCATTAACATGATTTATTCACGCACCCACATGATGCAACAAGTTCCCATCGTCGGCATGCCTCATTATGGTTATCGCCCGGGGTTATCATAATGGACTTGAGGTCGGCAAAATGTTTTTTCTTCAACGACAGAAAAATAATCCACATGACCGTAATGCCATAGCTGCGATGAAGGATGGAAAGAAAGTAGCAAGTTTACGACGTGATGTCTCAAAAGTGCTAGCTCCCGTTCGCAGTCAGCTGGCACCGGTGTCAGGGAAGTTGTGCAACCAAATTTGCCGAGTTCGTAGTTTTTCGCCAATAAAAAAATAACTAAGGCAAAAACTCACGGTTTTTCAGCATTTTTCTAATAAAGACATTATTTTCTATCAATAATCCGCCCAAAACAGGAACATTTCTACTAATTTTTGTTTTTGTTTTTTTACGTTTTTTGAAAAACCTGCGATTAGGCTGCGAAAGTAGAACATTCCGGAGGGGGTGAAACAAAAGAGCCAAGTTTAACGCGTAAAAATAGAACACGTATTTTGACCTCTACGTGGCCAACCAAACGTTTGCGCTCGTTGCCAAAAATCCCCGCGTCCATCGCCTGGCGATGCTACGTTTTGAAACCAAAGCTAAGTGCTTCAAACCACTCACCAAGGTATGGATTATTGCAATATTGGATTCATCGTGAATGAAGAGAAAGCAGAACGTGTGCGCCACATGCTGCGTGGTTCATCTCACGTCGTTAAGTTCCAATGAGTTTTTACGTAAAAACACAAACAAAACGGCCCTTTTTAGGGCCACCACACACTCCCAAAAGGGAACTACCGTAACAAACACACTATTTAAATAAATCAAACGCGTTCGTTTTTGACAAATAAAACTTTTATTGTTGACGCTGTTCTTGGCTATTAAATAATCACCCTGGGCGTTTAACCGAGGATGTCCCCAACATAGAACTTTTGTGAAAACAGGGGGGTGGGCGCTTGCCCAGGGAGGGGCGCGTGCCCGGGGTAATACGGTACATCAAAACATGTGTTCCGTGTAGTAGTAATATGGCCAAAAATAAAAACAGCCTTTCGGCCATCTTTGATCTGATTATGAAACACACTGATATGTATGATGTATGTGCCAAATATGAATGAAAATGGTACATAAATTGTGGAAATATAGTAGTAAGGCCAAAAAGTCAGATGGCTGTCAATCGACCATCCTTGACCAGATTTTGAAACAAATTGTCATGGACATGCATCCTAACATGTATAAAGTACATGTATGTGCCAAATTTGAATGAAAACTGACAGAGCATGTCCAAGATATCGCATAAAAAAACAAAACAAGATGCCTGCCAGTCGACCATCTTTGATCCAATCATGGACATGTATCCTAACATGTATAATCTATGTACCAAGTTTGAATGACAACTGACAAAGCATGTCCAAAATACAACATTTTCAAAAAACAAGATGGCTGCCAGTCGACCATTTTGAATCAAATCACTAAACCACTGCATGTGCATATGTCCCACATAAGGTACTAGGCACATGCAAAGAATGAACTGAATGGGTCCACAGGATTCTGAAATATGACTCTGAACAGACTGATGCACGAACGGACGGATGGACGGACAGACTCAAGAACTCACGGATGGTCGGGGACATGTATCCTAACATGTATGATCTATGTACTAAATTTGAATGAAAACTGACAAAGCATGTCCAAAATACAACATTTTCAAAAAACAAGATGGCTGCCAGTCGGCCATCTTTGATCCAATTGTGAAATAAATCGTCATGGACATGTATCCTAACATGTATAATCTATGTACCAAGTTTGAATGAAAACTGACGAAGCATGTCCAAAATGCAACATTTTTAAAAAACAAGATGGCTGCCAGTAGGCCATTTTGAATCGAATCGCTAAACCACTGCATGTACATATGTCCCACATAAAGTACTAGGCACATGCAAAAAATGAACGGAATCGGTCCAAGGGATTCTGAGATATGACTCTGGATGGACACATGGAGACCGAATTACAAGTCCCCGTTTTCGGACTTCGTCCGAACGGGGACTGACAACAACAAGAACAGACATTCTTCATCTACATCGATGATGATACAGCAAGGTAAAAATAAGTAATTCTACAGTGTGTTTTGTCCAATAAATGAATGAAAACATGAAATTATGTGCATTAAACATAAAACATCATTACAACCGTGAAAATCCATTTGATTAAAATAGTTGCTGGTTATTCAAAAAAAATAAAGTTAATATTTACTTTTTTAGCAATCTGTGCTATATTTTTATTCTGTGTAAATAGCAACACTCGCTGCAATCCATCTAAGTATGAAACCCAATAAATGGTGGTCTTTTCAGTTTTATTCATCAATGGATGTTCTATGAGACCATCAGGTTTGTCTTTGTCATCTAGAATAAAGAAGGAGATATTAATACTATATAAACACTGTCAACTTCTCTGACATATTCTTTATCATCAAGGAGACCAATTATACTCACCTTCATCAGTACTATAAACACTGTCATCTTCTCCTTCAACATACTCTCCATCACCAGGGAGACTGCTTCTTCTAACACTTTCAATACTCACATTGACTTTATTACTGTCATCCTGCAGCAACAAATGTAAATTTGCTTAAAGCATTCTAAATTTAGTATTCCTCTCAAGTTATACGAGAAGCAAACTATGATTTGCCAAAAAATTTTGGGATTTGGGTAATCACAATATGAGTAGCGTGTTGGTGACAGTTGGTAGTGTGCAGACGACAATGGATTGTGTCATTGTCATCCACATGCAACCCACTGCCATCCAAACACTACCTAATGTCGCCCACACACTACCTACTGTCACCCACACACTACCCTACTTTCACCCATGCTACCCACATACCACCCACTGTCACCCACACACTACCCTACTGTCACCCACACACCACCCACTTTCACCCACACTACCCACTGCCACCCACACACTACCCTACTATATGTTACCCACACACTACCCATTGTCACCCACACACTGCCCCCACACCACCATCACCCACACCCACCCAGTGTCACCAACATACTACCTTACTGTCACCCACACACCACCCACATTACCCTACTGTCACCCACTACCCACTGTCACCCACATTCTACCCACATTCTGCCACACAACACCCATTGTCATCATCACACTGCCCATTGTCATAATAACTCATTATTCTTACCTTACTAATCATAGCAGGAAATGAGGGTTTATTTCTATTATATAAGTTCCACCAGAGTGTCCTTTCAACTGTGGGATCATCCCATGTATACAGTAAAGATTGTTGTGATGTTATCAACATGACATTATTACTATTTCTAGAAATTAAACAATAGCTATTAGACACATGCAATATGTACAAAAAAGTCATCAACAAAATAATCACTTTTTACAGATTTGTGTGTAAATGAGAATAAAATGAGATATATGGGATTATACTATCTTCTTATTATAGTAGATAGAGCATGAATTCTGGTTCACACCCACTCTGTAGCTCTGTATATCAAACATGACATACATTGTTTTTTTCTCATAAATCTGACTCACTTCTGAGAGACTTTAATAAAGACATCATCATCACATAGATTATCAATTCTGACAGGAGCACTTCCGTTCGTGTATGGTGTTAATGTTATGGTTGTTGGTCCCTCGGTTCCTCCACTAACATCCACTGTCAAGGCAGTCTGTCAAGAAAATCAAATTATTGCTGTAGAAATTATTTGGAATGTGAATATGAGTATTGTAAACACAAGTTTCAAACAGATTTTATTAATTTACTGTTTAAAGTAGGTTGTTTGTGTGGTGAAAAATATAACACTAGAAACGTCATCAGAAATCTTGTGCACCTATTTCATGACACTAAATGGTCAATTCAGTTGGTTTTCCTTAAGATTATTTTAGTAATACATTTATCAATATCTTTCTCTGTAATTTCTCTGAGAAAATGTGAGTGAAACAAGCACCAAGTGAAAGTGTCTTTATAAGACTTGATATCTGTTTTGAGAACCCTGTGTAATGTGTGTATACATAAATACACCAGGTCTCTAAATAAAATATTCTGCCTTAGTATTAATTCACAGGATGCAAGAACAGCACTAAATGTTGTCACAGTGCATGAAGACATAATTCACTGTTTTCATGGTAACTGTCACAGAAATTTTTCCAGGAGAACAAACTTTTCAATAATCTAATTTATATGGTTTTGCAGTTACAGATTTTTGGAAGCGGTTTATGTCCTATCAGTCTTGATTGATCATCTCTTTCTTGATGTGCAAATATCTTTGTGACAACAAATATTATGGCAAACATATTTATTTATTTTATGAAAAAAAAAAAAATATATATATATATATAATTCACAGTAAAGGTTTACAGTTGATTGACCTTTGACCCGATATCTTACCCCATGTTCCATCCTGAGCACAGTTGAATGTGGTTTATCAACACTGAAATGCTGTGATGTCAATCGACTATCTGATATCTTGACAAACATCTTCATTGATTTTGTACCAGGCCAATATGGGATACACTGTGAAAACAAAATATGGTAAAACCATGAGCATCCTCTCATCGAAAACGGAGCTAATCCGACAATATCACAGACATCTACATGTATGAATATGATTGGTCAATAATAAGGATCAAGATTTCTACCTCGTTTGGTTTCACATCCACCCAGACAGCAGCTTTCAAATCTTCTTCCAGGAAACTTAATGTTTCATTCGTTTTATTCAATACCAAGAAATAAGGCATCAATGTGACGATCTTCGTGAGTGTCAGATTAGACATCTTGATTTCCAACCAAAACTGAAAAAAATTGAGACCAGAATATATGAGCCGTAGCCAAGGTTTACATTTATCTTCTTCATGTTTTACAGAGAAACCATCTCCCAGGGGTAAATTGCAATTATCTTGCAATATATATTTTCAGCTTCATCGCACATAACTTTTGAAAGTTCCACCAAGGAATGCTGAAATGCTGGCAAAACTGTTGGCACGGTAACCAATATGACATTATAAGATGGTCTCACCTGATATATTCTATCATGGCCTTTATCTTTACATGTCACAACTCCTGAACTTCCAACTGTATCCAATGAGAATGACTGCGACCAATCAGAACCAAATACTCGAATCTTGGCCTGAAAATAATAATTCTTAGGTGTAAGTCACATGATTACACTTCAACCAATCGGAACAGAATTCACAAAGGTGTAAACTAATGATGAATGATCAATATTTTCAAATATCACAAATTAATCAATCAATTTAACCTTATACCTTCCCATCGTTAGTTAAAAAAGTTATCAAAAGTTTTAATGTGGAGGTGAACACTTACTCTTTTTTTCTTTTTAGACCCAAAGCAAAATAAAATTGGACTGCTTGAGGTTTGGTTTTCATAAACTAATCTTGATCTTGAGCCCTAAAATATAATTATGAAGAATTAGTTTTAACAGATATAAGGCAGATTAGGGTGGGTGGGATAGAGATGTATGTAACTTGGTGGGATACATGTGTGTTTATTAGTCAACTGGAGCAGGGAAACATTTGTAAAGAAGTAAATACTATTAAAACGAACAGCTGACAATGGGGAATACCCACATGTTCATGAAGTTTTTTATGGTGAAATATGTAAAGGCTTCTCACCAAAATTGTATTTTTCCCCAAATTATTGCAATATTATAAGCCATTTATTCTAATTTCTTTTATTTCAAATGACCTTTTTTCTAAACACAAAAACACTCATTTTTTACTTACTCTAAAATCGACAGGCAGCTCAGTTTTATTAACAAACCAGTATGGAGAATATAGAAATATATCCATAGAATTAGCATGTGTTGTATGCACACTAAGGGATAAATATTTATAGCGATCTTCTTCATGATCATTGGTTTCCATGACAACAGATTCGTAAGGCTTCAACTGTCTTGATATATTTAAGAATCCTTCCCAATCAGCAGAAAGATAATCATACATCTGTATGAAAGACAAACATCAGTTACAAACATTACTCATGGAATGCAATGCCCGTATATGGCATTATACTAAAATCAATGCACATATATGGAATACTAAAATCAATGTACATATATGGAATACTAAAATCAATGCACATATATGGAATACTAAAATCAATGCCCTTATATGGGATACTGAAATCAATGTCCATAAATGGATACTATATCAATGCCCTTATATGGCATACTGAAATTAATGCCCATATATGGCATACTGAAATCTGTATTGTATTTAGTATTTACCTGTATATGGAGTTTTTGAGATTGATCATCACGTACTGTAAACATTGGAAGATTTTCGCCGGCTCCAAGAGTTGCCGGTGGAGTTGTCTGAAAATAAAAAATATTTATACAATGGAATAAAGAACCTACTACCATCATATCTTTATGTGTTTTTGTGCATGTAGTTTAAAACGAATTACAGTAAAGCATTTAATTTTCTCTGCTAAGTATTTTTGCAATTTCTTGATTTAATGGTATTCGTGAAAACAATACTTAAGAAACCGAGGGAAATGTCCACTGCTACAATCATTGTGATTGGCTGTCCTACAGACCTCTGTAAAATGTCCACTGCTACAGTCATTGTGATTGGCTGTTCTACAGACCTCTGTAAAATGTTCACTGCTACAGTCATTGTGATTGGCTGTCCTACAGATCTCTGTAAAATGTCCACTGCTACAGTCATTGTGATTGGCTGTTCTACAGACCTCTGTAAAATGTCCACTGCTACAGTCATTGTGATTGGCTGTTCTACAGACCTCTGTAAAATGTTCACTGCTACAGTCATTGTGATTGGCTGTCCTACAGATCTCTGTAAAATGTCCACTGCTACAGTCATTGTGATTGGCTGTCCTACAGACCTCTGTAAAATGTTCACTGCTACAGTCATTGTGATTGGTTGTCCTACAGACCTCTGTAAAATGTTCACTGCTACAGTCATTGTGATTGGCTGTCCTACAGACCTCTGTAAAATGTTCACTGCTACAGTCATTGTGATTGGCTGTCCTACAGACCTCTGTAAAATGTCCACTGCTACAGTCATTGTGATTGGCTGTCCTACAGACCTCTGTAAAATGTTCACTGCTACAGTCATTGTGATTGGCTGTCCTACAGATCTCTGTAAAATGTCTACTGCTACAGTCATTGTGATTGGCTGTCCTACAGACCTCTGTAAAATGTCCACTGCTACAGTCATTGTGATTGGCTGTCCTACAGATCTCTGTAAAATGTCTGCTGATTTTTCCTAGCTTGCAAAATTCATGAAAATTTGTCTCTTGTGAAATAAGAGATTTAGTTTATAACCCATCTGTCTTGGATTGATCAATGAACATTCCAGAATTAATGTGGTTATAAGCCATAAACTGATTATGGCTGGTCAGAGAACAGGCACCCAAGAATATGAAAACATTATACAATTAGCGTATGGTACAATGTAGGTATTACTTACCTCCAGTGCATATACAATACTGTAAGGTAGATAATTATGTAGAATAACAGGTGGGTGTAAGTTAAGAACATAATTTGGTGTTCCTTCTGGAATCTTGATAGCAGTTTTTGCAAAAGCCACATCGTCACAAATCACCTAGAGAGAGACAATAAATAACAATGAAAGTCATTTTTAGTCACTATACCTTGAAATATTCATTAAATCTTTGAACAAGGAAGAAATATCATGTTAGTTTTGGATAAAAAAAGATTTTGTGAAAAAAAGCAAATGCTGCAAACATCCCAAAAACTGCACTGATGCATACATGCTCATGAAAATTACATTTTTTCAAAAAGATGGGAACAATATGGGTTTATTATTTGAATGCCTAAATTGTTCATCTTGAAATGTTGATGAAATAAATTGCACTTTTGTATCCTATTCTATAATTTATTATTATATTCTTGTACCAGAGATGAACCTACCTTGATAAAAATGTTTGACAAAATATATCAACCATTTACGCGGTTATTTATTTTGTGAAATATGACAATTTGACTTTGGCACACAAAGGGTTTAATGTAATAGAAAACCCAAATGTATTATTGGTATAAAAAGTGGTATGAGTGTATTTACCTTAATGTTGAAGTTTGGTTCTGTTGCATGCTTTGCTTTACATGAAAACACTTTTTGTCTGGAGTCTTCCTTTGACAACTCTTCCCATTTGAGTGCAGTCTCACAAATAAAGTAGCTTTATAATAAAAAGAAAGAGATTATCAAAGAAATATTATAATAATGCTAGTCTTTTACTGTTAATGGTTGTTTTTATGATTAAGATCACCAGGTTTTTTCAAAATTAATACAGAAACCATAAAACGATAAACAAAAAAAAAACTGGAATTAATATTTTGAAAGAATCGAGCATTAAAATAGTTTTCTGAAATGATCATTGACTATTACTACTCTATTATTAGAGAAATGAAACAATGCAAATTGCTGCAAATTTTTTTAGTAACCATAGTAATTTAGAACAAGGCTGAATCTTAATTTCTGAATTTGTGCGCACTGAAACATAATTCAAAATCAGGGGTAATATTAATCATGTCAAATAATACTATAGAACCGTTTATTTTCACTGACATTTAATTTCACTATTTTGATTCTTTTGATAAATTTGTCTGGATTCACAAACTTGACAGGGAAATAATGAATTGTATTGTTTTACATGTTTAGTTGATTTATTTAATTCAGCAGATTTTACTTATTGGCAAATATAGCGGAGTTATAAAACAGAGAATAATTAATGTGTTGACAGTAGTGCCCCAAAACAGAAAACAACTCACAAAGGCAACTTGAATTGTAGCTATTAATCTAAAGATCACTCATTAAACTGTGACTCAACAGAAATAGTAAGTGTAGCATAATACATTGCAGTGTTTTGTAACAGATAAAGGAAATCTCCATTTCAGCGGAATCCAGTAATCTTGTATTTGCTCACTACAAGTTATTTGAGACCATTATGTAACAAATATTTTGCCTAAATTTACTGTAATGAATATAATTGTGATTAGGTCTACTTTCATAACAACCTATACGTACCCTAAACCCACTGGACACAGGTATATCCTACAATGGTAAGCAACAAATAATGGTATTTCAAACTCTGACTTTGGCCTAGCAACACCTAACAACGACCATTCTTCCTCCTCTTCTCCAGGAATGGCAGCAGCTGCTCCTTCTAATATCTGCAGATCTAATCGTTTATAATATAACTCTACAGGAATTGGTAAATGATTGAAAATCTGAAAATAAATGCAGAATATTTGGTATTAATGAACTATCAGTTTGGGTTATCAGCTCAAAGAGATTTCAAAATCCAAAACTCCCCTCACTCTCAAAAAGACTCAAAAATTGGACTCAAGGCAATTTAGGTAAGATTAAATTATTCTTGGCAATTAACAATTTGAAAGATTTGGGCAAAAATAGTAAATGTGGTCCATTCTTTGAGCAAGGGTATGAAAGTTCATTTTATAGGTAGTCAGTCAATAACTGTACTATGCAATAAGTAACTTCTGCTTATAGAATTTTTTAGAATAGTTAGCATGGTTCGTTTCATGTACTATTTAATTACTCAGATCAACAGCAAAGAACCCAATTAGAGATCTAGACATGCCAGCTCTTATGACGGCTTCTACGAGACATAAAAATAATCCCATAGAAGTCTGTTACTCTTGGTGATAAGGATACATGTATTTTTTGACACATCATTGCTGCTGAAAACCTACTTCAATAACAATACTAATAATGGTATAAAACGGTATCAGAAGGCAATGTGTTAACATGCAGTGAAATGAACACAAAACAGACAGTGCTCAACAGATAGAATGTGATTTTCCCAAACCTAGGGTGATAAAACATGCTTGGAAGTTCGTGCAGAATATACTCTGACTGCAGAGTATAAATTTAGCTGATGTAGGAAAAACATGCTATGCACTGTACTATGTTCAGATTACTGCAGGAAAAGATTTACACAATTTTAATGTAACATAATCTTACAATACCTGTAATGGTGATTTAACAGTAACAGTCTTTCTCCCATGACTTATATCCACATGGTGTATCACTGAATAAGTTTTGTTATTCTGAAGGGAGGTAAAAAAAAAGAATGAAAAACAATGACTAATAATACTGACAAAAGTGGAAAATTCAAAAAATAATTACATTTTCCTTGCATGGTAATTTTATAGTGTTTGATGAAATGTCAATATAAGTAATATACATAAAGAATATTATAGTACACTGTATTCTGTAAACTGTAAATTCTGTAAATATTTTGAAAACTGACCAAAAAATTAGTTCTTACCTTTTGTGGAGATAAAGGATACAGAATTTGACCAGCTCTTTTATTGGAAGCATATTTGATAGAATCAAAACCTTCCATCTGTAAAAATAAATCAAATATGGTAAGCACAATAACGATTCATAGTATCTCTTGCTAGCCAAATTGCTTGCCAGAATTGAATCAGGTGACCTTACCTCCATACCCATACAATACTTGCAAGCCAATCACTAAACAGAATTGGATCATATGACTACCTCAATAACCATTTAAATCTTGCTAGCCAATCACTAAACATAATTGAATCATGTGACTACTGTACTTCAATACCCATAAAACACTTGCAAGCCAATCACTAAACAGAATTGGATAATATGACTACATTGTACCTCAATACCCATAAAACACTTGCAAGCCAATCACTAAACATAATTGAATCATGTGTCTACCTCAATGCCCATATAATTCTTGCTATTCAATCGATTTGCAATCTTTTCTACTTCAGTATCATGGACATCGTAAGCAAAGGCACCAGCTGATGTTGCTAGGTTACCAATTTCAGCCAAGGCACTTGAAAGAAAACTAAAAGTATCCCCACTGAAAAACAAAATAAAAGTTTCTGTGTTAGAGGGCAGTATAACTATTTATAAATCATATATGTGTATCTCAGAGAATATGTAAATTTTGTAACATATTATGCAAACTAGGTCAGAAATAATGTCCACACATTCATGAATAACAATACCACTTATATGGATCAGGTGCTCTATGATGTAACATAACTTCATGTTTTCATCTCAAAAATATTTCCCACTTGAAGTGGCACATTTGTCATGCCATGTCATGTTAAACGTGAGTCCCATGCAATGTAAACAACACATATAAAAACATTGCTAATTTTCATGATATTCGACTGCAACACTTTTAATAATAAAATTTGTGATTAAGCCCGTAACATAATTCATTTTTTGACCAAGACTTTATATGGCAAATACATATAATTAACACAATTGCACAGCAATTATGTATGCCCAGACATAAAGAGAATGAGTGTACCTTTCACTGTCGCCCTTTATATCATCTTCTGTTGTAGCCAAGGTAACAGCATCCATCTCATCAGGTTTCTTTGTTTCTACTTCATTTGATACTTGTATATTCCTCATTTCCATGGTAGCAGATTCCAATACAGGGCTGACCTGTAGATAAATTATAAAGCATATAACAATGTAAATACAATAAATGTAGTACAATGAGATATGGTATGTGGGATGAAATCAGATGTGAAGCGAGAAAAGGTGGGATGGGATGAGATGGAAAGAGATGAGATAGAATGGGATGAAGTGTGATTAGGTGAGGCAAAACGGGATGAAAATAGATGATGCGGAGTGAGACCAGATGGAATTGGATGAAACAAGATGAGATGGAATGGGGTAAAATGGGATAAAGTAGAATGATATGAAGTGAGATCAGGTGAGGCAAGATGGGATGAAATCAGATGATGCAAAGTGAGTTGAGATGAAATGGGATGAAAGAGATTAGATAGAATGGGATGAAATATGATCAGGAGAGGCAAGATGGGACGAGATCAGATGAAGTGGTGTGCAATGGGATGGGATATAGTATGAAAAAGAATGAGATAATAGGAAGAGTGATAAGGATGATCATTGCATGGAAACAGATGGGGATAATCTTAAACCACAATACATGTGAGAGAAAAAGCTATAGAAGTGGATCAGTCAGAGGGTACATGAATGAAATCATACATGATATTTGAATTTGAATAAAACAGAACAGAACAAAACAGAACCAAACAGAACAGAATTTGGAACAATAAAGGGGTACAAAGAAATGCAATACTTTCTTTGGAAGTTGGTGAGTGGATACCAGTATATCTCTTGATGCAATGGAAAAAGACATAAAATCACAACCAGGTTAAATATACTTTGTACAATACATTCTACAATGGTTACAAACACTAAATAACTTAAACTACAAGTATATTGAATTATAAACATGTGTTGCTAGAGCAGCTCACAAAATAATTTCCATTTCATTCATTTAAAGTAGTACAGTTCTGGTCTGAAAGTACAAAGTACATGACAAATCAAACAAACGTTTCATCAACATACTTATCCAATTATTCATTATAATTAATCTTAACCAAAATACTAATTGAAATTTGATCTTCCATCCGTGATGCTATATCTCTCACACACACAGACTGCAACTGACTGAAAAGTTGTGGCACTGCTGCCATGTAAATTACAAAAAAGACACATTTATGATATTTTGAGCCCCACTGCTTCATACTATGATAGTGTAAGTTACCACACACAGGTTCTAAACATCTATAGTGACATATACACAGGATATTTTATATTAAAATACACATACCTGCAGCAAGTTGGGATGAATCAGGAATTTAGTTTTCAATCCAGTTGTATTGACTAATCTGAAAGCAGGCTTGTGTTCCACATGTCGTAACGTCAACTCGGGTGACTTAGTAAATGCGTCCGCGACGTCCTTTATGATATTGATAGCAGTGGGTGTCAGAGTGGCTTGCATCATATCCAATGAATTAATGATAATAAACGTAGCAATGCTGTCCAATTCCTCACATACCTCTGCATCCACCTCATCTGTTAAACATAAACATTGACATAAATTTCAACCTCAAACAAAAATGATCTTTGATTATAATCACTAATTTCTACAGGTTAATGTATTATTCTTGAGTCATTGGTTATCTAAATTTTACCCAATTACCCAGGTAATATAAGAATCACATGTTTTTTTAATTTTGCATGACATCATTCATTCTAAGAAAAATAAAACTATCGGGTATTATTGGAAGGTACCAGAGCTTTACTGGATAGTATTGGACAATGCTAAAGCTATACCAGGTAGTATTGAAGTAGCCAGGACTGTACCATGTATTATTGAAAGATGTGTAAGCTTTACTAGATAATATTTGAAGGTACCAGTTGTGACATAAAAAAACCAAGCTGGAACTGTGATGTCACAATGATGTCATAGGCAATTACAAGTGATTCCCAGCTACCAGGATGTGACAATCAATGAGAAATTATCAGGTCAATTTTATACAGCAATGATGTCTTGTTTTAGAAGGACATCATTCATCAAAAGTATACAAGCATCCAACATAAACTTGAATATAATTTGTGTATTTGTACAATAGTATTAAACCAGGAATACATACATGTATTCTGTTACCAGAGTAACGAATTGTAAACAAACTTGAGTGAGAAAAGATGTCACACTTGGTGGACAGCGACTGCATGCATCATATTCCATTTACATGCCAGACAGATGTATTGTTTATTTACTGAATGTTGCCACGATGATCCCTGCCATTTAAATTAGACAGATATCACTATGGCAACACCATTAATCATATGCCTGCATTTCATCTATGTTCATTCATGCAACATACATTGCTACACTGTGTCAATGTCATGGTGCAACCCACAATCAAAGGTACATTAGTACATTAGGCTTGTATGTCAATTCACATAGAACACACTATGAAATCATTCTTACCAGAGGTACATTACTTGGGGTTTGCAACTACAGTGACATGATACCAAGATCCCGTTCAATCTCGCTCTCACATAAGCGTTCCAACTCAGAAAAATGCGAATGTGCATGCCCGAGGTAACTAGAATACTGGGATGACGGATTACGATAACTTTATTTTCTTACATTTTTTATGTATAAACAGTATTACATTTTTTCACTATGAATGTGGTAATACATGTTTTATTGTTTTATTACAAACCGCCTATGTCATGTCAGAAGGTCGTAGCATCAGCCTCGCTATCTACGAGATGAGACTTGAATGGGATCTTGGCATGATGTCACCATACAGTACTATGCACGTTGCAAACCCCAAGTAATGTACCTCTGTTCTTACATATATGTGAACCAATTTTTTTTATCATCTAGTTGTATCTTGTAGTTATGGTTCAGGGGTTAAGCTGGATTATTAGTGCTTTACATGCATGTGTTCTCATAGTAGTGCAATGTGGAATTTCCTGTGTAATCATATCACGTCATAATTGCATTTATTGGAGGGTTTGTTACATCCATTGCTTGCAATGTTTGTTTGTCACACTTTTTGTTTTGTTTTTAGCTTTTTCTTCTACATGTGTAGAAATCAAAAAAGAATTGTCAAATGTTCTTTAGTGTTGTAATAAAGCAATATTTTGTTCTATATGCCACCAAGAAATACTGTAAAACATGTCTTTTTAGCTAGCATGTTATTTTAGCTAATTTAGCTAATTCAAGATGTCATTTATTTGAAATAAAGTATATTCTCACAATGAGATTGTTGACACTTTAGCTAAATTAAGATTCAGTTAATTCATGCATTGAGTCAAATTCTCTAAAATAGAATGTACCGGGTAGCTATTTAAACATGTTTTACAGTATGTTATGCTGCTACTTTTTTTTCTTATATTAGTCTGAGTTTGTATCTCAATAACCGTGATGGTTTGCACAGTATGAACACACACATGTAAAATCAGTATTACAACTATACATGTTTTGATCTAAAAAATGTATTACTGGTAGACAATGCAGACTATAAATACAGTGTTCACATAATCACAAAAACAAGAATGCAAGGTGTGTGAAAGTGCATGCTCCTTTTAGAGCATTTCATTTGCATGAACAAAATTTGCATTGTGTCACATCAAAAGTTTATAAAATAACATAGTTTGATATTTATGATATGAAGTGAATATCATAATATGCATACGTGTGAATCAATCACATTTCTAACTAATGAAATCACATAACACAATGGATGCTTGGAAAGATTTTACTACGCAAACAAATATGAGCGAGATTAACCTTTTCACCACCACACTTTCTCACCAAAATATTTTTGCACTTTTTTCTTATATTTCTGGAAATGAACACTAATTTTGGAGCAGACAAAATTTATTTCAATTTTCAGTTTTTACTCAAAAAAATTGGCTAATTTTGTTCCAATCTTCTGGCTACATACAGGACTATTTTGTGAATTTGTAATGAAAAGAGGGAACTGGTAGTGAAAAAGTTAACACTGCAATCAAGACACTTAACATGTTTTGAGCATATGCAAGAACACGAAAAAACAGAGAAATGCAGATTTCTTTTCAAAAATAAAAAAAACAACACAATGTTTTTAACATGTATTTATTAGTTTTTGGTAAACTGAGACGCTAGCAAAAAACTAAATTAAAAGTAACTTTAAGTGTTCCTACATGCATCTTGTACACAAAAGTAAGAACCGTTTCTGTCGCTGACTCATATCAAGTGTTCAAAGTGGTATCGTGTTTGGTATAATAGACTTGGATGAAATGTGAATGTAAGGCTTCAACATTGAAGATGATGTTTGAAAGTTACATGTACATATCAGAGCGGTATCGTATATGGTAAGATTGTTGAAAAATAGATGAAATGTGAACAGAACATTGCATTAACACTGAAAACAACATTTTTGCATGTACATATCAGGATGGTATTGTTTGGTGAGACTAATGGACATAGATGAGAGTTCATTAAATGCATTAACACAGGAGAAATTTATATGCTATTAATAAAGACATGGATTACCGCACACCAATAAAACTGTCAGATGCAATCAGTTTCTCATTCCCAATACCATTAACAATCCATGCACAATCCAAGACATACAACATATGTTTTATGAATGATATGAAATGACATTAAAATTACCTCCACCTTCCCAATCACCATCACCAACCGGTATTGTTGCTATGACATCAGTTGCCTGGACAACTGTAGGTTCATCTTCTTCATCTGATTCCTCATCACTTGAGAACATACCACCAAAAAAGTCAGTAATTTTATCAAATACTCCTTCATTATCACTATCCTCATCGGATTTGACAAGCGGTTCATCTTGTTTCTCAGTGTCTGAGGGTGAACCAACTTCTGTGTATGCAGCAGAGTAATGATTAGTAACTATAGCAACCGCAATGTTAAATAAAACATATTATTTCAATAAAGTATGAGCACCCTGTGTTGAAAATTAATTAGTACCTCCAGTGTCTATCCTGTGCAGGTTAGGCTTATATTTGTCACTGTAAAAATGCAATACTAACACAAAAAGTAAAGCAGTTGCCAAGACGACCTTCCTGCAATGTTAAAATATGATCTATTTTATAAAGCTCATTTGGTTGCTGCAACACAGTGATAATAACCCCATACTTACCACTACTGTCAAAATAACTACTGCTATAACGTCCATCACCGTCCATATCAGTATCGTCGTCCGTATCGTCATCTGTCTCACTGTCTGATGGTTCATGTACATTGGGTAATGGTATAGGTTGTAATACTCCATCTAGTGTATCCATACCCAAAGGTGTAGCTGTATTAGTACAATTAATCGATCGACTTGGAGCTTTTGACACCTATTACGATAAATATTATTATTAATAATATCTGTGTATTAAATTTTAAAATTATGAACATATATTTGATCTTAGAAACATACAGAAAGAAGTTTCCTAACAGTCAGTTTGGCACTGCTCAGTGAAAGTTTTTCTCTCAAAACCATGTGTCAGTTACTTCAGCATACTAATAACACAATTGTTAGAGCAATACCAAAAATTATTGCGTTTAATAGTCCCTATGAGTTATTAAGTTTAAGAAATACTAGTATATTAAATTTGGTATGAGATATGGATCTGGAACAGCATTCATTTAAGTAAAATGGCCACCAATAAGTTATTTTTTATCCAATCTGGAATACAAAATGAAGTGCATCGGGGTTTTTATTATGTAAAACATATGTACCAATCTAAAAAACAAAAGTATCTGAATCAAGCTTTCATAATGTACAATGTATGTACCAATCTAAAAAACAAAAGTAGACCTGCTTACCATTAAAATAATATTGTGAATAATTATAATGTGCTTTTCAATTAAAAGTAATTTTAAATGCTTTTCATATAACAACATTTTCCTGGCTTCATACTTTACTTCATCAATTGTCTGAAAACTGTTTACTATCTAAAAGTCAAGAACGATTAAATGAACAATTTTGAAATCTTAAATTACGAGTTTGGTGTAAACAAAATATAGACAAATAGTACCTTAATAGTCATTTCCCATGGGCGATACACATTTTCTTTCTCCATGACAGGTTCAATCAGTGGTTCCCACACGTCCAGCTTCTCATTGTAATATTTCATTTCCAACTGTAATTCGGCTGTAACTTGCATCTAACAAGTAAAATATAACAGGAATTCTAGCAGTGACATGTACAGCATGTACCCTCCGAATACCATCATTTTTCTTGTCAAAACTCTGGTGCAAAAATCTGTGACATTATCATGCATTTTTTTCATATAATTTCTACATTATGTTTGAAAAAAATATAAAAATGTGGGTTTATATGTGTTACACAAATTGACTTTGCCTTTAAATGAGTCATTGCACAATTTCCATAATGTGGTTTGACCGGGTGTCTAAATCTTAAGAAATGTAATTTACAAATAAGGAAAGAGACTGCAGCTTGGTACACATACTAAAACAAACACGACAGAGCATTCTAGGCTCACTTTCCTGCACATTCATGTATGCTAAACAATAAAGCATAAAGTAAAACTTACATATCTTGACCAATTTTTGAGGGTTGCTTCAACCACGGTATCTAATGCCATCATTGGTACGTGCTCTCTGGCTATTTCTAATTCTATTAACACATGTACACGTGGAATTGCAATTGTTAGCTTCTCTATTTTGTCTGCTAATTCCAATCCTAAATCTATATCATCTCTGTCTTTTTCCGGCACTGTAAAAAATAGAAGAACATAATTTAAAAAAAAACAATAAAGTACTGTAACTGAAAACCACTTAATTTATTTTGCAATCAATTTCAATTTCATCATCATTGTCGTCGTCTTCGTCGTAGTCGTCATTTATAAAAAACAATAAAGTACTTTAACTGAAAACCACTTGCAATTTGTTTTGCAATCAATTACAATTTCATTATCATCTTTTAAACAAAAAATGTTTGTTAAGTAGCTGAAGGACCCTGTCAAATGTTCAACACTACAAAATTTGTGGAAATTTGGCTTTCACAATATTATTAAAAACATTTTATCTCAACTCTAAATATACTATCAATTTGAAGCAAATTAGAGAAAATTATATAGTTTAGAATAGAAACATACAAGGTACTGAAATGCAGTTTTTCAAAATGATGACAGCCACCAAATCACTTATGATTGGTTTAATAAGTAAATATATATCGACTGAAGAATGCAACAATAACACTACACAATAGGAACATTTTTTCTGCCAATATTTGGTAAATGATCAATTGAACACAACCTATATTAATCAGACAGTAAGTAATACAGATGAAATCTCAACAAAATACCAACAGATGGCAAAGAATGCTGTCATAGCAACAGATGTAAGCATGGGTACTGTGTTCAAATTAGACTTTTATAAATGGATAACAATTTTAACAGGTGGTCTTATACATGTCTTCATTTGAGTCAGGTTTACTTCACTCTCCAAAAATATGGCAGAAAACTGTTCATGTGATTTAGTACTTTCATGGATGTCCCATACCTTGTAAGTTTCTCATGTATTCATCTGGTGTTACAGCTTTTGGAGTCCACAAATTTTCACTTTCATCACCTTCCTCTGGTAACGGAAGCTCAGGAGTCGACTGTAATACCAAACACGTTATTCATTTATCATTGGGAGAACAGGTTATAAATTAATATAATCAGATGTGAGGAAAGAGGAGGGCGCTCCCATAAAAACTCTCATGGCTTCATATTGATATTAGTTCATTTGTTCATGGACAGTTAAAGAATGGCTTTATACAAAATGTTCCTAATTTTGGGTCAAAAAACAACTTACCTGGTTTAAAGTACTGACTGCATCGACTATGCCTTTAATGATATGCACAGATGTGGGTGAAATATGAAGATCTAGAGTGGTAAATGTGACTGACATAACATCCCCTGAAGATGGAGATGTAGTCCTGGTGAATGTAACATTACATGGATATAACACCTAGTGAATAATAAATAGGTTTTTATTAATTTACAATATTGAACTGAAACAATATTAGAGGTTTTTTTTAGTTTACACAAATGAATTGAAATAAAGTACAGATTCTTATTGAAACAATAACACAAGACTTTATTAGTTTACAATATTGAACTGAAACAATGATATACAAATCATCTGTTTGATTTTGGATGCAAAAGAATACACATGATATCACAGACATGAAATACAAGTTATAACGCCTTACCCGGTGTGTGAATTTGAATGCCATAGAATACACATGATATCACAGACATGAAATACAAGTTATAACGCCTTACCCGGTGTGTGGATTTGGATGCCATAGAATACACACATGAAACCATATGTAAATTAGTGATCCCAGCTGCTATGTCGTCCTGTCCATTACGACTGTTATAATCAAATACAGCTTCCGACTAGACAAATGAAAACACATTGAAACATGCTATAATATTGATACACACTTGTCATGAGACATGTTTAGTGTGAACTGTTTTATGCACCAAGATGTTAGGTCTGCATAGGATTTGAGAGTCCTACAAGTACTGGGGGTAGGTATGGGTTGATGAAGTATCCAATGGGTATGTAAGGGTTGATGAAGTGTCTTATGGGTAGGTGTGGGTTGATGAAATGTCCAATGGGTAAGTATAGGTTGATGAAGTATCCAATGGGTATGTATGGGTGGTTGAAGTGTCTTATGGGTAGGTGTGGGTTGATGAAATGTCCAATGAGTAAATATGGGTTGATGTAGTGTCCAATGGGTAAATATGGTTCAATGAAGTATTCGATGGATACATATAAGGGTTGGTGAAGTTTCCTATGGGTAAGTATGGGTTGGTGAAGCTTCCAATGGGTAACATGGGTTGATGAAATGCCCAATGGGTAGGTATGGTGTCCAGTGGGTGGGTATTGGTCGATGAAGTGTCCAATGGGTAACTATGGGTTGGTGAAGCGTCCAATGGGTAACATGGGTTGATGAAATGCCCAATGGGTAGGTATGGTGTCCAATGGGTAAGTATTGGTCGATGAAGTGTCCAATGGGTAAGTATGGGTTGATAAAGTGTCCTATGGGTAGGTATGGGTTGACATAGTGTCCAATGGATGGGTACGGGTTATAGAAGTCTAATTGGCAAGCATGGGTTGCTAAAGTGCCAAATGGGTAGTTTGGCTGGTAGGTTGTGGGGTGTCTGGTAGGTTGGTAAGGCTGAAGATGTATATTATAAGGCAAACTAATTCTGATGATTATATCCTCCTCTCTCAAGTAATTAATGAGCACTTGCCTTCAGCACAAGTACATGACTGTCTTTACTTGTGGGTTCTGCAAATAAGACAATTTCTGGCCTTTTCAGAGTTGCATAAACCCTCAAACTATGATTCACAGGAGGAGCAGCAGCTGGTGTGGGTAACGTTGGTGACATCGGTAATGTAGAGGTTTCAGACAATGGATCTTCTTTTTTCGTTGGCATAGCACTTGTAAAAAACTGTACAACAACCAGATAGTAATGGGTGCATACATTGAGACGAATGCCTTCGATAGCAACATCAACTGAAAAATCAAAATATGATAATTTAGCTGTCAGTAGAGAACCTGTACCGACATGTTTGAAAATGTTACAAATGCACTGGAATGTGTTACCTCTTCCTTATTTGGAAAATGTGCGTCACATTTACATCACATTTGAACAATTTCCAGGAATAAAATTACGTCACTGATTGCAAATGTTGATCAAAAAAACAAATCTTGAAAAATTGTAAAATACTTTGCTTCAACATTCCGTCAGTTACATCAGTTCTAGCAGTGATAAACCGCTCAGTTGCGCTCACTCGTCAAGCACTGTCTGTTACAGAATAACTTACTTGATTGGTCGTTATTTTTATACTGTTTATAAGTAACATCCAACATTGGTTTGATAGTCTGAACTTGACTTCCTCCACCTTCATCAGCCGCAGGTTTTTTGGTTGACTGTGATAGCTTTTGAAACATTCTACATAAAAAAACCATAATGTTACAAACACACTACAAGTTTGTATGAACAAATGCATATTAAACTACATGATTATATAACCATTAATGATTGGTTGGTTAAATACATGTACTCCTCAAATGTTTATGGCAAATGGAATTGTGCTTATCTTTTTCTTGGCAAGTGGACTTACCTTTTTATTGCAAGTGGATTCTTGCTTACCTTTTTATGGCAAGTGGACTTACCTTTTTATGGCAAGTGGATTCTTGCTTAACTTTTCATGGCAAGTGGACTTACCTTTTTATGGCAAGTGGATTCTTGCTTACCTTTTTATGGCACGTGGACTTACCTTTTTATGGCAAGTGGACTGTTCCTTCTGATATCTTCCAAACTAATGGATGCTAATGTTAGCTTGACTTCCATAGCTTTATCACTAAATATACATGCAGTCACACCAACGTCATGCATCATAAACTGAGATAAACCATGCTTATTGTCTCGTAGCTGCAACCCAGCAGCTCCATTCTTGTCCTGAAAGCAATAAATATATCCAAATATCAATATCTCATCAGTCAACAAGTATCAGTTTTACTTGAAAACACGAGTGTGTGAGCGTCGTCGCCTTGGGTGACTCAGGGTGCCTCGCACCTGCTCAGTTTGGAGAGCCGGGGAAGTTTGGGAAAAAGATAGCGAACGATGAAATTGAAAGGTTAAAAGGTGTTTAGGTCATTTTCTCAAACATAAAATGCAACTGGGCGTGATTTTAAAATAAATTTTATACATTTTATACGAGTTTCGCTCGCATAGCAATGGACCAATACGATTACATGATACTACTTCCTCGGGGAACCATTTCGTTGCCACGGATCACTACTGCCACGACACTCAGGGCACCCCGAGGGAGCGAGGGAAACGCACTCCACTATATTCCCATACATATTAATCTCACTAAACCAATAAATTCAGTTAAGTCACTTTTGACCTTGACTTTGAACAGTGCTACATCACCATGTCCATATCAATAATCCAGAAAATGAAAACGCATTTTTAAGCAGACCTCCATTACATACATATTTTGAAAACATAATACTAACAATATTCCTGACACATTAACAGAGCTACCAAAAAACACACCTGTAAATTTCTTAAATAAAATTATTCTCACCAGTCGTGGCTCATTAGTAAATAATTCTAGATCAACTCCTTCCATTGCAAACGATACTTGGATTTCTTTCCAGTTACCAGACAATGATGTTACATCCGGCCGTTCATCTACTAACTCATCTTCAATACCGCTATCTTCTTTCAAAGTCTGAATACTTTCCACTTCTAACTTTCCTTCATCTCGACTTTCAATTCTTGCTTCAACTATAAGAAACCATCAAAGTTACTACACAGCACAATTTTGTTATCAAAGAGTTATTCCATTATGTTGAGTTTTCAGCGATGATCTAAACTAGTCATATTTAGCTCGGAATCCTACACTGCTGATGGGGTATAGTTAAACAAATCACAACTTGTATAAATAATTATTGGAAATAAATCAGCAGCTCATGCAAAGTGAGACCTCATGTGAAGTGATCATGTGAAGAGTAAACATGTAAAGTGAGATATTGTGAAGTGAGATCTCATGCAAAGTGAGATCTTGTGTGAAGTGATCATGTGAAGAATAAACATGTGAAGTGAGACATGTGAAGTGAAATCTCATGTGAAATGAAATCTCATGTGAAGACCTTGTGAAGTGATCATGTGAAGTGAGACTTCCTGTGCAGTGAGAAGTCATGTGAAGTGAGACCATGTGAAATGATATCTTGTGTAAAGTGAGATCTCATATGAAGTGTGAAATCATATGAAGTGAGAAATCATGTAAAGTGAGATCACATGTGAAGTGAGACCTCATGTGATGTGAGATCACATGTGAAGTGATTGTGTGAAGAGTAAGCATGTGAAGAGTAAGCATGTGAAGAGTAAGCATGTGAAGTGAGATCTCATGTGAAGTGAGACTGCATGTGAAGTGAGATCGCATGTAAAGTGATCATGTGAAGAGTAAGCATGTTAAGTGAGACATGTGAAGTGAGATCTCATGTGAAGTGATGATACATATGTTACTTACTTTGGAATGGTTGTTGAGGTAATGTTAATGTGTCTTCTGATTGGCCTTCTTTTAAATTATGCGTAGTGATCGCAAGCATAGTAGCTAAATCTTGCTCGCCTAAATTGACCTGAAAGAACCCAAATCACTAATGATCAATAGATATGTTAAAATAAAGATCAATCGCATGTCACCAACCTGTTTTTGTCGATTAGTATTGTTTCTCTCTTCCCTAACTTTTATTGCATACCAGTGGATGTGGACAGATGCACATGATTGTCCCTGACATCCAATTCCAACTGACTGCTGAATTAATATGTTTTGTAACATGTTGTGTGCAATTATGTTTGTATTTGTATCTTCTTTTAGAGGGCATGGCATAGATGAGAAGATGACTGACAATTCTACACAGAGAGCTTTGGTTCAAACCATCATCTAAAGTAGGTATTTTTCATTTCATACCAATAAATACTAATTCATTTACACGCATGAATCTCTAATACAGAAAATGTGGTTTTGTTTTTTTTGTTTCTTGCTATTTATTCCAAGCTTACCTTGATATTTTCTAGCCTTGCTTTAATATCAAATAATAATATTTCTTTAATAGTTGGTTGCAGGGCTCTCTTCACTTCGATGTGTAAACTCACTGGTTCTATGATTAGACGACGTGGTCCGTAGGCTTGGTTCTCAATGATCATAGCCCTACAATAAAGCAGAAATAAGCATGTGGATTTCATATTTGACAAGCATTCAGGCAGAAATAAGCATGTATATGTCATCTTTGACAAGCATTCAGGCAGAAATAAGCATGTATATTTCATCTTTGACAAGCATTCAGGCAGAAATAAGCATGTATATTTCATCTTTGACAAGCAGTCAGGCAAAAATAAGCGTGTGGATTTCACATTTGACAAGCAGTCAGGCAGAAATAAGCGTGTAGATTTCATATTTGACAAGCAGTCAGGCAGAAATAAGCATGTGGATTTCACTATTTCCAAAAATCGTACTCTCTCAAAATTACAGTGGTATACAATAGTGTCTTCAACGAAAATGACATTACCTTGATACTTGTACTGCGTTGAGTTCTATTAACATTTTGTCTACATATGGTATATGGTCTACACTGATACCAGACGGGATCTTAGCTTCTTCGTAGACATTACGAATAGATAGATCACCAAAATGTGCAATTAATGTGTTTGCCGATTGAGAACTTTGAGGTACTAAAATAACAGGTGCTCTAATGTTGATATTCAAACCAATTTTCTTGCCTTCTCTCTGAATGTCTTCAACCTAGTATGAGACAAAGAACAAATAAATGTTAATCAATGAATAAAACAAACAAAATGAAAAATACACAAGCACAACTTTGTGATTTGGCCACATGAAAAGTGCAACTTTGTGATACAGCCACATGAAAAGCACAACTTTGTGATATGGCCACATGATCAAAGCACAACTTTGTGATATGGTCACATGAAAAGCATAATTTTGTGATATGGTCACACAAAAATCACAACTTTGTGATACAGCCATATGAAAAGCAAAATTTTGTGATACAGAAACACGAAGACAACTTTGTGATACGGCCACATGAAAAGCACAACTTTGTGATACGGCCACATGAAAAGCACAACTTTGTGATATGGCCACATGAAAAGCACAACTTTGTGATATGGCCACATTAAAAGCACAACTTTGTGATAGGGCCACATGAAAAGCACAACTTTGTGATACGACCACATGAAAAGCACAACTTTGTGATACGGCCACATGAAAAGCACAACTTTGTGATACGGCCACATGAAAAGCACAACTTTGTGATACGGCCACATGAAAAGCACAACTTTGTGATATGGCCACATGAAAAGCACAACTTTGTGATAGGGCCACATGAAAAGAACAACTTTGTGATACGACCACATGAAAAGCACAACTTTGTGATATGGTCACATGAAAAGCATAATTTTGTGATATGGTCACACAAAAAGCACAACTTTGTGATATGGTCACATGAAAAGCATAATTTTGTGATATGGTCACACAAAAATCACAACTTTGTGATACAGCTATATGAAAAGCAAAATTTTGTGATACAGAAACACGAAAAGACAACTTTGTGATATGGTCACACAAAAAGCACAACTTTGTGATACAGGACACATGAAAAGCACAACTTTGTGATATGGCCACATGAAAAGCACAACTTTGTTATATGGCCACATGAAAAGCACAACTTTGTGATACGACCACATGAAAAGCACAACTTTGTGATATGGCCAGATGAAAAGCACAACTTTGTGATATGGCCACATGAAAAGCACAACTTTGTGATATGGCCACACTTTGTTATATGGGAAGAAGGGCTCACCTGTTTCTGAACAAATCCTTGAGAAGCTTCAGTGGCAGATGCAATGACTTCTTTATTTGTGAATGGCTCAAAGAATTTCTACAATAGAATAAAATAAACTGCATATGCACAAACTACAAACATAGGAATCCATGCACATCTTTTATGCAATCAAATTTATGACACTATAAAGCCAAAAAACACTCGCATTTATTCAAAAGTTTTAAACATCTTTGTTTGTGTTAATTGCAGATATTTGTGAAATGATGAAAACCTAACAGGTACAATCTGAGTGTTGAGTCATAGTGAAATGTGAAAGATCAAACATTAGATAATGCAAAGAGAATGAGCATTAAGGCTTACCATGACATCATTAACAAATTTATTAAGGAAGACAAATTGAACTCGTCCCATTCTGAGTCTCAGCGTATAATCAAGCTGCGTGGATGATGTATCTTTCATAGCTAGACCAGTATCCACGGAATCTCCTCGGTTGAGAATAACAAACTATAAGAAAATTAAATTAAATTATTAAAATAAAATAACAAGCAGCCTCTCGGCTGAGATAGCTTCGCTGTTTTTTTTTTTGTTTTTGTTTTTTTTGTGCTGTTAGCAATGCACATTTCAATTAAAGAACAGAAGATATCATTAGAAAATGAACAATATGCATAGTATCAATGCAATGGGACTTGCTGTTTTCAACAAGAATTCAAAAATATCATTTTTCACCATAAATGATTGTGGTTTTTAACAAGAAGAAAATATCACTTTTTACCAAAAATGACAAAAATATTCACCAAAATTAGAGAATTAAAGATATCATTACAAAATGAATAAATCTGAGAGAGGTCCACATGTAGTACATGTACCTATATATGTAATATCAAAGCAATTGGACTTGCAGTTTTTAACAAGAAGTCGAAAATATCACTTTTTACCAAAAATGACAAAAATATTCACCAAAATTAGAGAATTGACGATATCATTACAAAATGAATAAATCTGAGAGAGGTCCACATGTAGTACCTATATATGTAATATCAAAGCAATTGGACTTGCAGTTTTTAACAAGAAGTCGAAAATATCACTTTTTACCAAAAATGACAAAAATATTCACCAAAATTAGAGAATTGAAGATATGATCATGAAATGAACAAATCTGAGAGAGGTCTACCCAAGGTACATATACACCAAGTATCAAAGCATTCAGGCTTGTAGTTTTCAAGAAGAAGTCGAAAAAGTAAAACATTGACACGGACGACGGACAATCACTCATATGATAAGCTCCGCTCGACAAAGTCGACAGCAGAGCTAAAAATAAATTGAATTAAATTGAATATTTGATGACACAACTTTACTACACTTCTTAAATACAGGCAATATCTTGGCAATGAAATCTATTACGGTTGCCAAAAATATATTTAGCAATCAATCAACAATATATTTAGCATGAAGACAGAAATATTAATTTGACTAGATATACTATGAGGTTATTACGAGAATACCT